CCAAAAACTTTGACTATAAGCCTAACAAAAATAATGGCCCAAAATTTGCTTTACCATCATATCTTTTACTGGACTTTTTATTTTTGTCGGTTTTTAATGAACGGTGTTGCCATTTTGTATCGGAGTTCCATAGACTTTGGGAAAAATAGAATTTGAATTGAAAGAAATTATAAATGATCTTGATAAATACCTATGAAATGCATGAAATAAAATAATTACACATTATTATGGTATTTATTGTTGTTTATTTATATTATTTATGTAATTGTTCAAACCCCATTTTTGAGAAATCTTAAAAATAACTGGTGTGATTTTGTATGTCACCTGGCAGCCCTGGCATATTATAGTGACAACGAAATTCAAACTACATATAACCTAACCGATGTCTCTCGCTTCACATCTGTTATTTTCGTTTCCCTGAATCTTCTACCATTTATTACCTGACTACCCTAAAAAATTTGAGATAGGAGTGGAACATATGAAATTAAAAAATCTGTTAGAAATAGAATTTCTTCAACAAAAATATAAATTAGTATTAGAAATATGTATTACACTTAAAAAAAGAATCAGAAAATAAATGATTAAAATGAAACAAGTTTTGTTTTGATATTCTTTATTACCAAACAAATTACCTAGTTAAATTGTGCAATCACAGATTGCCGGAATGCTAGACCTGTAGGAGATCTTTCATTGTTTCTGTGTTACTCAACTTCTGCTGTCAGCAAGATCACCATCATCATAAGCATCGCCTCTCTGTATACCTATATTATGCAATACAGCACAAGCTATAATTATATATAACTAGTATTTGTCAATTTAGACTGTAGTCCTAGCTGTAAACATGGAAATTTCCTTTTTCACACTCCGAAAAACCTTTAAAAAATATGCCTAGTTCTTATTTGAGAATAATTATAAATATTGTCAGCTCTTGTCATTGGATTTAAAAGTGTTGTTAACATGAAGTTAAGTGCTGGATAACCGTTGTCACCTACTAAAACAGGCATTTTCTAAATATCCTGCTGTCGTGTGAACTGCCAGGCCACCTAGTCACTATAGCAAATATTTCCATATCAGGCCCTATTATTGCTTGCACATTTACAGAAAAAATACCCTTTTTTATTTCTGTATGCTTCAGAGTGAGCGATACCTTTGGGTCTATTAATTTTTATATGGGTGCAGTCAATAGCTCCGATTATACTGTTTAGGCCATGGGGAGTATTAGATCTTCCTAATTCTTCAAACTTCGTTTTGGCTGTGTTCATATTTCTTGGAAAATTTACAAATCTAGGAAGTAATTTACTCAACTCTGCAGAGACTTTATTTATAATTAAACAGACTGTAGATTGGCTTATGCTGTTCAGATCACCACACACCATCTGTAATGTCAATAAAGTATTATTAGTCACATATATGTTATGTTTGAAAGTCAGAAGACAAAAGTCTTCAACATATGTACTATTTAAAATCATTTGAGAAGAGGTATAATATATCAAATTGAAAAACCATACATATTTATGAACACAATATTACCTGAAAACATCCAGTTGCATTTTTATGCCTTAATGCAATAAGTATTTGCAATTGCGGTAGGTTTGGCGATCCTCTGTTGTTATAAGGTTGCAAGTTTGTAATGATCAGCGTCAGGATCACATTTAATACCGTGTGTTTCAAAATACGGTTCCTTCTTTTGAATTCATTCTCACCGTACAGGATGGAAGGATTTTGGTTTTATTAGTTCCGAACATATACAACACTTTAGGCATTCGTGGATTCATATCGGCTGCAGTTCCTACCCTTTCAATGTTTTCTATTGAAGATAGAACTCTCTCTCTCCATCATGTCACTTTCGATATTGATATTTCCAAGCGGTCCATGTAACAAAGCCAAATCACAAAACGAAAGAAAGATCAATTTAATAAATTAAAGTGGTTTAAAATTTTCAATTGTTGATAGTTGATACAAGTGCTCTGTTGCTGTTGTCAAAACATTGCAATCCGTTCTACGTAATAAAATTATTGTCATCTTTAAATAATTAATACATTTTCTAAAGGTTACTCGTGAATTTCTAGTTATTGCAATAATAAAATAAATGAATACATAAATAACAATAAATTGAAGCTATATGTGTACCGTTTTAGATTTTTAAATATTTGTTATTGTTAACTTTTTTAAAGGATAATAAACAAAGTATTGCATGAAATGAAACATCAATTTGTATTTTGACATTTTCTGTCTTAGCTTGGGCTTAGCTTAATCTCACCGTTAAAATGTCTATAAATACGAAATCATAGTTTAACCTTAGTGTACACTAAGCAAAGTTTTTCGTAAGGTAAGTCTGAGCAAAGTCCAAGTGCGCACTATAGATCTCACCCTAAGTGATGTCGTAGTTTTACTTAAGATTATACACAATGGTTTAACTAGGTACTTTATTTGCCACATTAAGGATTTATTCAGAAATTACAAGCTTGGTGATCGTGGATTACAATTACCAATACGAAGGTGAATAATTATGGAACGTTTTGTTTGTGTGTGTCTGTATCAATAAGTAAAATAGTCAATACCGTCAATTTGATCCATATTTCAATACAGAGGCGTGCTGCACTCATTAAGCCGGCTTCTTTCACTCTCGCTAGCGGAAATCGTTTTTGAAATTCACCTTAAAAGCTCTCGTAAATGCCGGCTCATAATTAGTGCAACACTAATGAATCGCACTCGCTGTGTGAAACACTATGCCTTGACCTATTTAACGACATTAAACTACAACGATTTATAAGCATGAATTAATAATTTCAATTAAAACATGCCATGTTACATATACTACATCCCTAAATTTCGACAATTAATACTTTAAAAAAATTATTGTCATAATAAATATATGATGTAAGAGTGTAAATATCTGTGATGACCGTATTTATTACACGTCTTAAATAAATTATTTATTAGTTATTACCTGAGTTTTAATTCGCATATTTTTTTTGTTGATAAGGTTCTCGTAACGGAAATACCCTGAATGCTCTTCAACCCTACACGTTGCTTGATGTCTCAATTGGCCAGTAATTACACAATCTAAAGCACCCTTTGAACTAAGCATAGTGCAACCACTTTACTTTGTTAAGATTTTTCAGTCGACCCTACTCGCAAGGGCTCGCCGTATTGTAAACCTATCCTACTATACGCAGTGCACAGGTTTTTTAACAGAAAAACTAAACAAATCACTTATTTGTAAGACTGTTTTACCACAAATCATTTTATCATAAAAAGGCATTAAACTGAAGCCATAGATAGAAAACAAATACACCAGTATTTGTATAACAGAACAGACACACAGCTTAATCCTTCTAAACATTTTAATTAAACTTGCTAAGAACTTAGATTGAACGCTAAGAAAGGGCTGACTATGTCTTGTTCTGCCCCACGGCCCACTTGATTCACAACATGGCTAACTGTCGTATTAATATGATAAACATGTAACAATGTTTAAGATTCGATTCAATTCCTCTTTCATTTACCTGACAATAAAAACTCTAATAATAAAGATAGTGACCATAATAATAGATTAATTGTAATAGAAGATATTATAGTCTTAGGGATCAGAAGCGGTAAATATTTCAAAAAAATAAAGCACTTAGTCAACCTAGGAAGTTTTATTTCTTACAAAATGATTTTATTTAACTAATTACAACAATAAAATTATAATCGACCAAAACTAATAATTAACTCAACTAAATAGAACAACAACTAAACACAACTGAAACGTCTGTCAGGTCCGAGAGCCAATCGCAGAATACCCCCAATCCGGTGTTTCACTCCTTTTTTTATAACCTCTCACTCGGTCCGGTTTGCTAAGTGGGGATTTTTTCAAAGAATAGATTTTTAATGTAGATAGACAAAGTTGCAGTTAAAAAGTTATTTCTAAAAATAATACATAGTTTCATACAGAGTTAAAGCGAGGTCAACGCCCCTTGTTCCGTGACATTGGAGTGTAGAATTCGCGTGTTCAATAAAAAAATTGTCAATTTATGTTCATGAAAAAGGCGGTGCGGATAATTCGCGAAGCGAGGCACTGTGACCCCTTCGGTATTTCGTTTGAATGTTCAATTTAAATTAGAAACGAACGTAGGGTCGGATTTTTGACGTTCTTTTTTATTTGCTAATGTGATTTTGATTGCGTGGCTTTTGGAAAATACCATTTGATACAGTTGAATCTAATTTGGATAATATTTATTCAAATTTTATCCGTTTTTTATAAAGACAGTAACTTATATATTTCTTCAATAAGATAAAAGTATTTCAAATTTATTAGTAATTCATTTATATAAAAATATGAATTAAAAAGTGATTAACACTCAAATGCATTAACATAACATCTACGCAATGAATGTGTAGTGACACAGAAACTGGTGCCGTTGGCAACCACGCAACACCACTCAGCTGTTGGCACCGCTGCTTGCCCATTATCTGTTGAATTTCTGTTTAATGGAATTAAAGCACGAAACTCGGACGTTTTTCTGATAAACAACATCTTGATGCGCCAAATTAAAAGGCCTGGTGCCAAATTATAATAACGTCTCAGACCCTCGTGAATATGCCTTATGAAATGGGTGCACATATCTTTAATACTAAGTAAACTTACATCCACATTTAATTTAAGTATTGCTATGATTTTTTGTCAGGCGTTATACGGCAATATCGCAACAGCCATTTTGAAATAATTCGTTTACAGATAGAAAGACAATGTGCATATAAAGTGTTTGTTAAGCAAGAGTCCATAAGTGATAGTGTGTGAAAAAAAATGTGTCCGTGTAATCGGACAGGACACTGACCCGTGCGAAGTTTGGTTACCGGGGACGCGTCTGTCAGGTGGCAATGACGCGGGTAGCGGGTGTGCCCCCGCGCTTATCAGGAGATAAGGCGGTGGCTGATAAGATCGGCCTAGTGGCAAACGTGGCCAAGTCTTCACCGTGACCAGGCTGCTTGCTAGACAGCGGCCGCCGCCCGTCATGCTTCATTCGCTCAACGCACTCGCCGGCAAGATATCGCCGGGCGGCGGCCTCGACAACAACGCAAACAAACACACGCATCCGAACAGGAACCACAAGGCGTATGCGCCGTCATCGCCCTACTCCAAAACTAAGTAAGTCTTAGATGTCACATATTAATTAGACTATGAAGAAAAGCGACTGCGTCACCTCAATCGATAAGAGCAAGATACTGAATATAAAGTTCAATAAAAACTACATCCAATATCTTATATAACTTAACATACATATTATAAGATAACTTAAGCACTAATCTGATGATATCAACTATATCAGCTTTTACAGTATATAAAATTTAGTTACTATTTTAAATGCTTCATAATATGTATTGTAGAAAAAAACTTTATTGAATGTAACATTATCGACATTTTTAGAATGAGAAAAAAAATGTGGATGTTTTGTGCTAAGATTTATTTGTTAGATATTTTCGTAGCCAAAAATATAAGCACCTGTGAACAAATATTGTGTTACTTCACTTCAGATTAATATAATAAATATGCTCGAATCTAGTAATGCACTCTAAAATAGCGAATGGATTAGTATCTAAATGGTTTATGTTCTTACAGAACTTGGTTCATTAAACATCAAAATGGTTGTAAATATTACAATATCAGGCAATGTACTGGTTCTTACAAGCCTAAACATTTATTTTAGAATAATTTCTTTAAAAGTAGTTGTAGTAATAAAAATAGTTTTTCTAAATTAATGTACAATCATATGCAATTACTGGTATATACAAGTACTTTCATAACCTGCGATAAGATAGGCTGTTAAAATAACATAATCTTGTGACGGGTTGAGTCAATGAGGTGATGTCACGATACCTCATGGAGCCGAAACTCTTTAAGAACAGGAATTATGAAAACTATGGAAAAAAAAAAAATTGAAAAAAGGAAAAGCAATTTTATTACACTGTAAAGTCAATTGAAATCTTGATAGTTGGTTCACCTGGACTTAACGCAACCCTAGACAGCTGCTCTGGTAGGGTCCTGCAACATGTTAGCATAGATATAAATATGATAAATTTACCCTTATATACTGATTGTATAGACATTCACAGTGTGTTACTCTAACAGAAACCGTTATTTTGGTGTCAAATTTCTTGCTGCTTTTTATTCAATACAATATTTCTAAACAATATATCTTGTTGCATCGCATATTTTTTAACTCTGTATTATTATTAACAATCTGAAAGAACAAGAATCAAAGGTATATTTTCTCAAATAAGGTTCTATTTTACTTAACTCATTCACTATTGTGGCCTAATTTAATATTAAAATTTCCATAAAATGGAACTACTGTAAAGTGTTTTCGTCGATTGCAAGATAAGTAACTCACGTGGATGGCACGTGTATTAATAGACATACCCAATAGCATAAAATATATACTAGTATATGTTTCGTCACTTTCAATTTCCAATCAGGGCCTGTCCTAAGTGCTAGGGTAATATGTATCAAAAGATAGTACTATAATATCATCCCAAGTAAGAATTTCATTAAGTGAGTTATTCTGATATCGAAACATTTTGTGCTGTACCATTAATTTATGAATTGTACCAAAAATTCCGATGTTCCAAAATCTAATAATAATTTAAATTTGGTCAGTAATAATGATTAAATTAACTAATAGGTAATCAAAACACAAACATCACCCCCAAATCCCTGGGGTGTGATAATTTTGTTGCGAACTATTTAGCGTAGATTAATATTCAAACATACATTGCAGATTGTAGATAATAATAATGGTAGTTATCATAATATGAAACAACATTTTATCAAGCTACATATGGTCGTATTTTAAGAGATGTATATCTTACAACAAATGTTGCACGTTCTACAGGGTTATAAGCAATCATACATCATTAAAGAAAACTTTGTGCACATTATGAGACAATTTATAATGTGTGTCAAATATGACATCACATTGAGGAATCGATTTACGAAAATGTTTTGCCTATTTCTACGTCAAATTCTTACAATATATATTTAATAGTAGATACGATTGAAAATATTTTAAATATTTGGGAAAATAAAAAAATATATTAATTTTTGGTTAATAAATTTTTTTTTTTGTATATTGATAATATACAAATTTGATTTACTCAATTATATATTTTATAAAATGTTGAAGGTTGGTCAAAGCCTGAAAATAAACTATTGAAATGTAGACATTCAAACCAAGCAGTTAAAGTACAAAATCGCTTGAGTTCTACATCACTTTTAATTCTACCGTAATAATGACGGTAAAAATGCAATAATGTTAGGCAAGTGTGTTCGGTTTGGAACGAGACGCGTTGATCGTGTTATAAAGTGATAATGTTATCAGGAGATATATTCCCTCTTATCAGTGATAACGTGAACGCAAATATGTACTATGGGTACAAACCAGGCTCGGCAAGATATACTAAACGTTTCAGGTAATAATGTGACAGAGTATACATCTTTGAGGTTAGGTTTAATGTTTACGTTGTTAAGAAATTTAAAAGACTTTCTGTCTTTTCAATATCTTATTTTCGTGATTTCATCTATAACTTGTTATTATTTTTATTTGGTTGGTTACAGGCATACAAAATGTTATTACATATATTAAAATATGGTACTAGTAAAATTCGACAGGACGGTGATGTTAAGTTGGTTGTAGCAAAACAAACCAAAATAGTTTGAACTACCTGGTTTGCTAACAATATGTTATATATTCATCCTATCCCATGATAATTTTAAAGGAATTATCTATTTTTCAAGATAAGTTTTTTCATGATTTCGTCGAATTCTTGTGAATTATAAGCTTTTGTTGTCTTACATGAATGAATCGTGAAAAGAGACACAATGTTCTCTTTAACGGTAATGATACTACCACTAGCTTAACTTTGAAACCAAATAAAGAAGCAGACATAAAAATAAGTTTATCAAAACAAAAGATCTATAGCGCAATATGTAAAATCAAATAGTTAGCGTAACAGAATAACCTGATAACTTTTGTATCGATATCGCTTGAGTAGCGATCTGCGGGCATGTTTAGAAGTAATCTGCACCAACATTCTTCAATATTTGTTTTTTTTATGGGACAGGAGACAAGCAGGCGGTTCACTGAGAGCTTAGTACTTACTGCCCCCATATATACACCTTTAAGACCAGGAGGCTTACAAGTGCGTTGCCGGCGTTTGAGTTAGTGGTATGCTGTTATCTGGAACGCCACTAAGTCGTTACAAATCGAAAATATATGGAACGGTAGTTGGTTCCATTAAGCGCTGCTGCGCGCCAAGAAGTGTCTTAAAAACATGTGTAGTAAGCTATCAGGTAGATTGAATATAATTCTAAAAGGCTGTTTCTGTTTGTTTCAGTGGGATAAATAATATGAATATAAATAATAACAACAACTGTACGAGTATCAATAACAACAACAATGACGAGACATCGGAGATGCCGGACCCTGACTATATTAAGGTAATTTTTAATCTATTTTAATTTTAATACGAGTACATTAAAAAATGTTTAGTAAATTACATGCTTTTTTATAATTACAAATTAAATTTAACGTGTACATATAATATTATGTACACGTTAAACTTAGAGTTTAGTTGTTTATGAACCAATTTTGATGATACCCCTAGAAATTCAAAACTGCTTGGCGCCACTAAGGTGATTTACTAAGCGTCTACTTAGTGGCTAGCGGCCTCACAGGTTATATACGGTACTATCTTGCCACTAAGTGTCTTGATTCAGGTTGCACTATCTTATATACAGGGATTAAGGAAGTGATAGGTAATTTTATGTATATAGGTGTTTTTAGAAATATTAATCAAATGGATTACTTATACTAGATTTTTTTTTTGTATTAAGTAAACATTTTAATGATTCAAAGATAAATTCAATCAGAAGAAATATTATTTCGCCGTCTTATACTTCCTTAAATCAGTCTTTAACTAATCGGGCATTAAATTACTTATGTATAGGCGATAAATTCTGAAAACGCCCATTAGTGTTTCTAAGTGCGTTCTACTCAAGTCAAATATTTGGCCCAAACCAATGATGAGTACATTATCGAAATGCTAACCGACTAAGCATTAAAGAGGTTGAAAATCTCGTTATATACTACAAATCTCTGAAAAGCCTCAAGTGTAAACACATCCCGATTCCTTGATCCGGGCGAGTGTTCCTTACGCCGCGCTCATAAATCCTGCCGCATTAGCCGACTCTCCGTGTGTTTGTATCTCATATTCAAATGCTAATGGTGCTATAATCTACTTTAGTGTCCGTAACATATTTGACTTAAAAACTGCAAAATTTAATTTGTCCCATTTTTATTACTATTATTAATTATGTTATTTTATTATAATCGTATATAAAGTATACTTTACAATAATGAATGCCATATAGGAAATAATGCATGATAGTTAAAAATATTTTATTAATTTTTCACAGTGTATCACTAATCATGGTAACAACACGTAATGTCGAAATTAAACGGTGAATGATTAGATACGCTTTAGTAAAACGAATTATTTCTTAAATGTTAAAACTACATTACTCACTTTAAGAATAGTTTTATTTATAATTGAAAAGAAGGTGGGATTCCTTGAAACAGAAGTTTGAAATTGTTACTTAAGTAAAGAATTGTTAAGCAGTTGATGTTAATAATTAAACGTTTCACTTTCTCTGAAACTAAAATGAAAAGTTAAATCCCTCCAGACAGTTATGATACTGTCTCATTTTAAACTTGAAAATGTCATTTAATCTTGTGGAATTTTGTAGATGAATTACAAGTTTTTGAAAGCTTTTTAAGTATTTAAATTGGTAATAGCGGCCTAAAAATATTAATATACAGCCGTTAATAGGTTTGCGACCTGAACGCGAACTTTGTTTATTATAATGATTATTCTTATAGACGTTAGAAGATGTTTATCGTAATAACCGATACTTAAGTCTATATACAAATTGCAATAGAAATACATAACATGCCTTTGTATATCGTAAATCTGCAAATGGCAGAAATGAACCTTTATCCCGTAAACAAGGTTTGACCCTCTGTAAATAGTTATATTTTCGTGATAGCGAATATACCTGTACATATAATCTGTGTAAAGGTTGTTATCACGAAACTCGAGGGATCAGCGATGCGATACTTCAGGTGACCTACATTGTGCGATAACTTATCAAGGGAATGCGATTCTCACATCGCTCGGTATAACCAAATATGCCTACACAAACACACCAATATACACATGTGTTGTGAAAGCGTTTTGAATTGGGCCCTAAATAACTAGAAATAATGCTGCTAAAATTATCGATACGGTTACATTTTTCATAATTTTTTTATTATTTAGTACTAGAATTGCATTCAAATCATAAATATTCATGGGTGCGTTTAGAGCCTTATACTATTAGTCTATAAATATTATTACTTGTCTACAAAATCAATTATTCGATTATACATGTCGACCTTATCGTGTCGTCGTAAGGTTACAGTTTTAAGTATCGTAGGTAGATCATATTGTATGATCAAATATGTCCAGACGGTATAAGAGGAGTGGTAGATGTTTATTATTTAGTTAACCAGAAGACGGTTTAATATTTCAGATGTTCGTTGGTCAAGTACCCCGAAGTATGGACGAAAATGACTTACGGCTGATGTTTGAGGAGTTTGGTCGGGTGCATCAGATTAACGTGCTAAGGGATAAGATCACTGGTGCTAGTAAAGGTTTGTACTTATTTCTTTAATATCTATGGCTTCAAACTTAAAGATACAATGTATTCGAAATTTAAAAATTCGTTTAGAAATCTATAGACTAAACGAATAGTGCTTTCGTTGATATTTTCATATTATATATTATGTCATAATCTATAGAAATCTTCTTAAACCTAGATAGTACGGACTAAAATTCAAACACATAGTGTTTATTAAATTTATAAGGGTTTGTTTGCCTAAATTCTCCTGTACACTCGTTATCGTTTATATTCAATTCCTTATGAAGCATAGGTCGTTCTTAAGTGTAATAAGATAGAAGAAAATAGAAGAGAAGCTGTATAAATATTTACTAGACGAGGTTTTATCGCATTTAGAAAAAATATATTGAGAATGCGCATAGTTTTTAAGGTATTTTAAAATAAATTCATCCCATTTAGTGTGTGGAAGCAATTTTACCGACCTGAAGCACTCGTATACGCAAATAATATAGTGCCATTTCTTTCTGCAAAACTAGAGGTGGGACATTCTCGCTTGTGTATCACTTTTGACATTTTTCTTTGGAAATATCTCAAGAATAAAATATTTTGTTGAAATGGGTCATCACTTTACTTGCGCCTACAGTTTAGATTTGTTCAATTTAAGATAAAGAAGTAATTTTAAATTAATCTTTGTAATCTTATCTAGTTATTACTTCCAAAAATAGAAAAAGGTACTGCAACAAAACAGTCTCAACACATAAGATGTGTTGTCATTTAGAAATTTGTTCATGGCATAGTTAAGGCCCTGTAATAGTTTGTAATACGAGCAACGTGGAGTAGATTTTAAACGTAGATTTCAAACAAAGCGGCTTATAACGTAACCTAACGCTTAATCATTACCTCCCTCGCGAATTCAGTCTTATTAACCAAAGTCGGTTAATTAACGTGTCGCGAGCACCTACAACCGTAGACTGAGGCGCAGACGAGTGTACAATTATTACTCACTTCAAAAGCCTACGTGATTAAAAACGTACCCTTTTCTTTGAAGTCGAGTTCAAGCCTCGGTTCTTCGTGTAGGATACGATCCGCAAATATGTTACGAATTATTAAACTTTGTAACATATATAGGAAAGCTTTTTAAAATTGACATCGGTATTTAATTTATTTTCACTTGGGAAGCTTACTGCTCTGTAACACGACTGGTAACCTTCAATTTACATATTACAAAATCGTAAACGGGGTTCATATTTGCACGAGTTTATTTCGCTATAAACAATCTAAACAAATATTCAAATATCAAACATCTTAAATAATACGCGCCCAGTTTAGTAATTTTATTAAAACCCACTGAGTTAACAAAATTCCCGTTTAATTAAACGAGCGATGGGCAAGAATAGAAATGATATAACAGAGTGTCAATTAGTTTTTTTTGTTGAAGAAACTTCAGAAATTTTCCTGAAGTTCGGCTCGATCAATTCAAATTCAGTTCGAATGCTTTCGTTTTCATTCGAGTGTATTAGAGCAGCATAATTGTAATTTGTCTATTCATCTTTTTTTAATGAACATTTTATAATTTGCGAAACTTTTTTCCTTACTTATATCTTAATATAATATTATATTAAGTTATATTTTAGGCATTTTTAAAACTTTATTGACAAATCTCGGCAATAGTAACCTTTAGTAATGTAATATTAAGGTTAAATTTTATTAGGGTACCCGTAATTTTTTCGGATATCAGATTGTATGATACTACAGATTCCTCATTATCATTTCTCATAGTGTTTCTCTTTACGAAAGCGTTTCTAACAAACTAATCGCCGCCAACTATGCCATCGTCACCCGTCACGGCAGTTGTCACCCAAATTAGCTAATACTCGTCTCAAACGTCATAAATGTTACTATGAAATGTTATTGATACAACTCGCAATATACGTCGAAGTACGTACCTAAGTTTCTACTCCAGTCTTAATACTTTCATAAATGAAACGGTTCTCTCGGACTTGTTTCTTTAAATTACGGCTCAATTTAGACCCTCTAAGACTCGCCTGATATTGTTTCTTCCGACAATGCCGCGCATGTTACATGTTGACGTTTTTGCTGCTTTGTTGAAACTCTTTTGTATGGGTTTCCTTTTGTAAGTCGCATACAAATAGCATATCTTTTGTTTAATTCTTTGTAGCCTTAAACTTGGTTCTATGAAATTTAGGTATATTTTTCATCTTTTAAAGGTGGTTAAATAGGGAAATTCTAATCTGAGGTCTTTTGAAATACCTGCAAATAATAAAGAAAATCCGAAGTAATTATTTTCTACACATAGTTCGCTAGATACTAAATATATACATTTTACGAGTTTAACAACAGGTGTTCAATTCGTAAAATGTATTTAGAATATTGTCGTGTTATGTCAATGCCACTGTTTTGTAAAAAAATCTAATAATATCATGTTATTGTTGCTTTTTGTATTGATCGCTTTCTATTTTTATAATTTGTAGCTATAAAAGTGTTTTAAGAGTCTGTTCATCACAATATTACTAATCGTCTATATTGATTGTAGCGCCATCTTTGGGTAATTTTGTAAAACACTAATTTCCTTTTTAATAAAATCTTGTACGTTTAGATACAGTAAAACTTAAAATTTAAGTACCACCACTTATTTCTTATAAATGGACCAAGCAATTATCACGCTTTTTACGGTAGGCATTCAAGGGACAATTTCAACTGTGAAGCATATAATTATCGCTGAAGCTACCTAAGTATTTAACATTTAACGTACTTATGTTCCGACTTTTAACAGCTTATTGCACTTGATTTTATTTCGCCTATCCTTACTACTATATAAAGGTTGAATTAAAATATGTTTAAGTATTTTTTAACAATATTATATAGTATCTCTTAAATACTTAAGAAGTCAAACGTTAGAGTAATCTATATAGAATATGTTTTGTCATTTGATTCGATCACGTTTGTAAAATTGAATGTAACAGTTTAAAGGGTATGTATGTTCAGTGTTTTTTTTTAAATAGATGTCTATACATTATAAGTAAGTAATATCTAGTAAGAGTAGTCAGTAATTTTAATTATACAATGATGTAATAGAAATATTCATTGACTTGTGGACCGTCCCATGTAATATATTTGTATGTACGTTCGCTCGGTGTGCTGTTATGTCATGTAAGCGTTCGCTTTTGTTCCAGGATGCTGTTTTGTGACGTTTTTCACGCGAAAAGCAGCCCTGAAAGCGCAAGACGCTTTGCACAATATCAAAACTTTGTCAGGGGTAAGTGCGTTTTATGTTCATTGTTTTTGGGGTCACCGATATGCTCAGAGTGGTGTTTATGTGAACTCCAGATTTGATAAAGAAGATTTTTACGCGTGAAAAATATTGGTGGCCCCTTTTTGTAATGCTAATGATCCTATATTGCATAATTCTAATATTTTTTAACAACGGATGATGTTTTGTGTGTTAGAAATTGTAAGCGCCGTCCCCGATAGCTCTGTTACCAAATAGTGCTGTTGATTTTCCAATTTGTAATTGAAATTATACTTTTTATTATTATTATGTTCATCATATAACATCATTTAACAAACGAGGTAAACCTAAACTTTTAACAATACGGAAATGAAATTGTATTCGTTTTTACAACAACCTCCCAAGCGAAATTAGAGTATTATCACTAAATAAATTCAAAGCCCTCGTTAAACGAAAATTAATCAACAAAGCTTTTTATAAATTTGAGGACTACTTAAATGATCCTAATCCTTGGGATTGAATTGCTCCAGTTCAAACAATTTGTATGACAATACTTGGCGATTAAAAAGAGTGGCGGAAAGTTTCTTGCCAGTTCTTCTTACCCGCTCTACGCCCTTGACTTGCGAACTGGTAGTAAATGTAAATTTACGATTAATTTAACTTGACGATTCAAAAGTGTACTTGGTTACCCACTTGAATAAAGATATTTTGAGTTTGAGTTTGAGTTTGAGTTTGAAACAGTCGGTAAATAAAAATTTAAATTTAATTTTTGTTTTTTGTTTCAAAAGCATTGTTTTGATAACCCCATATATAATTTCAACTCTTAAATCGATGTTAAACGCGTTTTTTAAATTTTTTAAAATTAATTTTACGATTACGTAAAAAACAAATTACCAACAATTAATTTGGGAGTAAATTAAACGATTTTATATCATACTGAGACAATTTAATTGACAAGTTTATAACAAATTAAGTACATTGATGAAATTAAATGTTTAAACGTACGGGATCCACAGTAAGGAGTTTAACGCAATGAGGGACGTGAAAATAGCTGCGATGCCATTTCAGACGCGAATAACCGTGACAGTATATCCTTTCTCGTTTCACTTCTCATCGTAACCTGTTGCAATATCGAAACATAACAATTTTCATTATTACATTACACGATCGTGGCACAAACATCGTCCTATCGATTGTTAGCGAGCACAATCGAATTACCGATTCTTTTATTCTGAATTTCCTCGGTCTTCCCACTCGAAGTCTTCGTTCGGCGATAATTCAATTCTATTATATTATCGGGGTGGTTTTTTCTCTCTCGATTGATTCCATCTCTTTGATCGGGAGCGGCGGGCAGGTACGTCGAACGATTTTCACCGAATTGGAGGAAAATATTTGCTGATTGTGGGAATTGTTGGCGTCTTATTTATGCCCTCTCGAAGCGATTACGTGGACGTCTAATTGTATGAGCTTTTGTTCGACGATCTTTGTTCGTCGAGTGTTTTCGTAGCTCTGTTTACGATGCGTAATTATTGTTTTCCAACCCTCGATCCTAAGACAACAATTTAATTTCCTTGAATTTCTGTATACCTTAGTACCTCGCCACCTTTAATTGTCGTCGTTGTTCCTAAATATAAAATATTGAAGGATAAGTATTATATTATGTAAAAACCTGATAGCAGAAATGATCTGTGGTCAGAAACGACCAGCCAAGACTGTACGGCGTGACGTCAGTCCCTCGGCTAGACAAAATGAATACACAACTTAGAACACAAACATACGCGGCACCAAACACCTATAATAAACTACCTTTTATTAAAATATTTAGTTTGTGACTCTCCTGAGATAAGTCCTTTACAGTCCATCAGAAACCCCAAAATATATAATATTTACATATGTCAGCCTCTTTTAACAAGTGTACCTTTAGTAATATGGTAATTACTGGGGTAGGTTGAAACTTAAGTAAACGTTTTAGCTAGAATAATCTTATCAATTTTACGCTGGAATTCCCAAAAAGGTTTCCTTGTAACTTGCAACTGTTGTTGTTTAAACACCTAAAAAAATTAAGTTGTGAGATAATTATCTTTGAATTCTAAAGATAACTTTTAACATTAAATAAAGGCATTAAACGAAAGCGCTCACTTGTTGAAATCCACAAATAGCTCAGACTATTTGTAAAGTATAAAGACGTTACTTGAAGTTTTTAGTGGTTCCGTTTCTTCTTTACGGAAAATACAGAATATCTTGTTTTTCATAATTATGGTATATTTTGTCTTAAGTTCGACGTTGATATAATTTTTTTTTTGTGTAAATTATTGATATTTTTATCCTGGCACTGAAGCAGCAATAGAAATCAGAAGAATATAGTTTTTAATTCGTTCGAAAGCGTTTAATCTGTGGTTATACTTGCCTATAAATCATTTGTACTAATATTGCTACTCTGAAAATACTCTAACATAATATCATATAGGCACTAATAAACATTTTTCTAAATTTAAAGAATAGTATAAGATCCCGCTATACAACGACCTTCACCGAGATGCTTATTTAATGAAACTTATTTTATATTTAATTTAATATGTCAATAAATATAATCCATATGGGTTGCCTAGCAAATTTCAGTCCAGAGTATGTTTAATTAATATTTAAAAAAAAAAAATTTTTTTATAATTAGCATGTAGTAAATTTTTTGAACTTTTTTCAATCAATATTTTTAATCAGGGTAGTATTATATATGTATCACTATAACCTTCTTTTATACTAAAGATGTATATATACTTTAGTGTCACATAAAAAATATACACATAAATAAGTAATTGATTAAAAACAACCTAACTTTTGCATATTCTATGGGCTTCATACTTTCGATTGGTATAGAATTTATCTAATAATCATACCGGTGAAATGTTTAAAAAAATATTTTTTTTTTAAATTAATTAAAAATACTCTGGACTGAAATTTGCTAGGCAACCCATATGGATTATATTTATTGACATATTAAATTATATATAAAATAAGTTCCATTAAATAAGCATCTCGGTGAAGGTCGTTGTATAGCGGGATCTTAGACCAGAAAGAATTGACCGGTTTTTACCTGATAAAATAGACACAATTGGAGCTATTATTTTCTATTATATCTTAACTAATTTAGTTTTATATAAGGTTTTAATTGTAGGAAGTTTACCAAAAACGATAACTATTCTTGTTCTACATTAAAGCAAGTATAATTTATAGTTTGAAAATAAAATATATGTTATATTTTCGAAAGTCTGCAAAATTTTCTAAACGAGTATATAAAATCAGTGAGCTTTACAAATTTTCCAATATCGTCTCATGAAGTTGTCAGTGTAAGAGGCGACGTGAAATCTTTAGCCGTTTGTCGACCGCTCCTCGAGTTATAATAAATCAATCTATCGGGCAACGGTGAGCGTTCTGAAAATGGAAAAAACTATATATCACCCGGATACCCGGGCACCGGCGGTCACGGGCGGACCCTGATCGATATACCCGGATTTTATGATCGAGTTTCCCCCGGTCTTAAGTAATTGACTCGCTCCATTAGTGAGGGAAGCCTTCCCAACTACTTTATAGATTTGTATTGATCGCTTTAACGTTTGGCTTTTGTTTGTAATAGTTTATGGAGGCTTTTCACTTAATGCCCTCTAGCCTTTGACCTTTACTCTAATCACTTGGAATATTAAAGCGTTTATCTATTACGAGTAACAGAAAACAACCTAAACGTCCTAGCCATTATTTTCTTGATAAAAATCTTTCTTTCGTTTCCTTAATATGTTTATTGTATTTATTTAAATATATATCATAATTAGTATTTTTTTGTATAAGAACCCTTCAATCTTACCAACCACGCGATCGGGTAGATCCATGGCCCAGAAGATAAACTGCAATAATATCTATTATCCCCTTTGCTAGAAAGGGACCTCATTAACTTAAGCTAGGTCTCCTATTGGGCCCGTGCGATGACAACTCCGGGCAATATCCTCATGATATTATGGATGAGCCCTGTGGCTAGTCAGGATCTGCGCCTTGTATGCCGCTTTTGCAACTTTGAAAATTATTTTTGTGACTTCGGCTGTTTCAAAACACACGTGTGCCGACGTGCGCCTCCATCCAGAAAATTTCGATTTTAATGTCATTTTCATGGCTCTATTCTCGGATACGGCGGGCCTCGGAAACTTGATGAAGTCCAAGCAGAATACAAAATTCCACCCCTATCACCGCGACTGCATTTTTTGCCGCGCCATAACCACTATGTGGATCCAGCGCCTACTGAAGTATTTCCAAACTAAATCGACTTAGGGTTCTTCAAGAAAAGAGTGTAACAATTCTTGAAAGGCCGACAACGCACTCGCGAGCCCTCTGGCATTGAGTGTCCAGGGGCGGCGGGGCAGTGTCACTTAACATCAGGAGCCTCCCGCCCGTTTGTTCTATAAAAAAATTGAGTCCTTTTTTCTGTTCCGTTCTCACATACTCTCGGTTTCACTTTTAACAGTTTCAACAATCAATTATTTTAACGAAAAATGCTTGTATTAATTGGACTATGAATTTATTTCTGAAGAGTGGCAGCCCTGAATGACGTCGACTGAAGTTAGATTTATGACGGTGCCTCTTATAACTTTATCCCGTGTATTCAATCACAGCCCTAATGCGAGTTTGACTAGACATTAGTCAATCAATTTCTGATTTTTGTGAGTATGAGGAAGTATGTATGGCCAGAATTAAAAAGTGAGTGCAATGAAACATGTTCTATAGGTATACAACTTTAGTATATAAACATGTAAAACTATGAAATTAATCATAATTGATTCAGCAATTCAATCGCAATCACCGATTCAAGAAGCACAACATTTTATCTTTTTTCTTTGACATAAAATTCTAAATTATATCTGTATATATAATATATATATACCGCATATTCAGTTTTGAATGAATCTGATTGATTTTATGCATCTTATAATAAAGTTTAGGTAGTTCTAAAATACTTTACTGGAAAACATTTATACCCTTTTAGATTTGAGATAAACATACTAAAAGCTAATTGACGTGATTTATGAAATAAAACATTGAATGAAACGGAAAATTAACTTCCACGAAAAACGCTACCCGGTTGT